GGGAAACATGCAATAATAATGTGGGGTAGCATATTTTTAGATCAATCATTTATATTTAAAGTTGATAAAGTCAGTGCCCAGCGAAGTGGAGTGTGAATTACGTTGAACATTAGAAGCTTATACATAGAAACACCCCGTCAATTAATGTTTTTTTTTTAAATAAATTTTAATTCATATATTTTCTTAACTTGCGTCCGGTATTTGGAATGAATAGTTTCTTAATAATAAAAATAATTATTATAGTACGGCGCATACACTTTTGCCAAGTGTTTGGCCGAGCTTCTCCTTCAACTTGTACTGTGCGTCGTGATATTGTTACACAAATGGAGGAACCTACAATTTTACGCCGGCGGTTAGTCATTGTCTGTCGATGGACGACCGCTGTAAGAGAAAATTTTTTAAATGCTGCCCGGACCAGGGATCGAACACAGATCCCACGGAGTAGTAGTACGCATCTCTAACCACTCAGTCACAGATGGACCTAAAAACTGTTACAACTGGGCTGGCAAGCCATTCTTTTGTAATTTTGAGTTTCACTTTACTCGCAATAGAGATCTTGCTAATTGATTTGGGCGCACTAAAAGATTCTAAATTTCCCCGTTGCTCTATTTGGGTTCGTACTTCTGGCCTTCTCTAGTCGCGGTGGATATTCTGGCTTCGAATATACCAGCAGGGTGCTCCGGTAATTATTCGAGGGATTTTGGATTGCGCACGACGTCAAGCCATGCTCAATAAAATGCCCCGGCGACGTCAAGAAGCATTACAGCGCAATATTCCATCTTGAGTGGGGCAACGCTTCAATCCGGCGATGTGTGAGTAGATGTACCCCGCAATGGGGGTCGTCAACGACTTGTTGGTGGCTCTGGAGCGAAAGTTTCTGGAAACACTTTTTGAACTCATGCAAGGTTACCCGAACTTTGGTTGAAAACCAGGCTTTTAGCTGCGGGCTGAGTGTGAACCCTATCAAAACTTAGCTTGTTATTTTTACTAGGAGATATAAGGTACCGACTTGCCATCTTCCCTCAATGGGCATCTTCCACTAAGGCTTTCTGACACGCTGAAGCACTTGGGGTTGATCCTTGACAGCAAGCTTTTACAGGAAAGTATCAAGAAGGCAACATTAGCTTTATATTGCTGTAGGGAAGCATCGTTAAGCAGCCGCAAGGAGCGCAAAGAGCAGTCTTAATTAGAGTCAGTGGAGTACTTCGAACCACTCCTACTCTGGAGTTTAATGATATGCTAATCGTTGTGCCCATAGATATAGCAGGCAGAGCCCCCGCTGCCCGTTCCGCAGAAAGATTAAGTGATGGCTTTAAGTTCGCTTTGGGCTATGGGCACGCCAGTATTCTACAAAGCTTCGTGTTCCTACCAACTCGAACAGACCACTGCACGCCGAGTTTAGGTCCGATGTGGGTGGTCCACATCACAGCGAGGGGAAATTGTGAGGAGTGCAGTATTTGGAATCGGGGTCTTATTAACGTATTTACGAATGCTTCGAAGCTAAATGGGAAGCTGGGGGAGGTGCGTTTTTCTAGGCAGAGGTAGCTGCGATACAGGAGGCTTCGAATTGGCTGTCCAATAGTGCAATGCCTTTCTAGGAGGTGACTATCTATTTCGACACACAAGCAGCCATTTAGGCTCTTGCCTCTCTGATGATTCGGTCGAGATCGGTGAGGGATTGCTTGACCTATTAACTTATCTGAATTCCAGGAACCAGTGACATTGCTGTAAACTGCATGACCGATGAGCAGGCAAGACAGGCTGCTCTTAACGAACTGCAAGCAAGCAAACTCCTTCTGGCCACAGAAGGGGGCTGTCCAGTGAACCTTTGGGACTAAGCAAGGTACACCTTTCGCTAGGGGTGAAAGTTTTAACTGGTCACTGCATGATGGGATAACATGCGGTAAGACATAATATCATCGATGACGCTTATCGCACCAGCAGCATACGAGACGATGAGGAGGAATCATTTCAGCACCTGCTGATCTGGTGTTCCGCTTTTGCGAACCTTATGTTTAAGCAACTTGGGTCGCACTTATTCCATACTACCGACGAGCTTTCGGGAAAGGATATCAGTCGGAGCTTCGTGGAAGCAGTAGGTGTCCTACCCCCACCTTCTTCGTCTTTGTTATCATCTTAATTCCCCCTTCCCTGTGTATCTTATTCCTTCTCCTCATTAGGGGCATCACAATGGATAGCGCAATCATTGTCTAGGTGTAAATGCACTGACGGACCTCTAACCTTACTTATACCTTCTATTCGCTGTTCGGATTTTTGATGTGATGGGATTTACTACTCGATCGTTCCATGCTTTTGCCTCAAGCATTCATAAGAAATGTAAGCCGTTGTTCTTGCAAATCATTCTTTGTAAATCGTACACTGAACTTGATTATTTGTCTTTCGTTTTCTTGGTTTACTAAATAGTACATTCTGCAAAACAGTATATACCCAAATAATGTTTGTATGTATTCGTTCACAAGAAAAACTAAAAATAATGATGATGGCTGCAGTCGTTGAGGATACATGCAAAGAGGTAAAAGCAAAGTGGAAATATTTAAGATATTTACAAGAAGGATGAAGTGTGGAAATAGCAAAATTTTAAGGCATAAAATACGATCTGAAGTCATTTGAAATTTGAGCATATGTGCGCATTTGAGATGGTTGAGCAAACGAGTACAAAGAAATTGTACACGCACTATACACACATGCAAGCGCACTGCAAAGAGCTACAGGTTAGAAGGCAAGCAAATATTTTAAAGGTGAAAAATTATTTAAAATAAAAAAAAAAATTGGTATGGAATGCACACAGCTGCCAAGGTGGAAAGTGTGGAAAAGAATGCGG